AGCTACTTGGGAGGTGGAGGCAGGAGACTTGCTTGAGCCCAGGAGTTGGAGGTTGCTGTGAGCTGTGATGCCACAGCACTCTACGCAGGGGGACACCTTGAGGCTCTATCTCAAAAAAAAAAAAAGAGTCCCTACAGAACTGGTCCAAAGTTCTGGGCAATTCAAGTGAATATTCCTGAACATCAGTTGGGTGGGGGGGGCCACTTATAAGGCTGTGTTGCAGCCATACCACTTACTGGGAAATTTTTATTCAGGTTCCAGTTTTTCGTGAGGTTTCTATATAGACACAGCAGATAGCATTTCATACTGCACAAATTATTTTAATGTAGCCAACAGGTGACCTTTGTTAAGCCTTAAGGCTTCAGAGCAAATATAACTACTGTATGTAATTCTACATTCTTTGGCCAGTCTCTTAGTTCCATTTAACAGATCAGTTTAAACAGCTAGGTCTCATGAGTGGGCATTGCAGACAAGGCTGGAATCTAATACAGGTGGACAGTACTTTTTTCCGTTTGAACCATTTTTCTCTAATTTCTCACTTTACTAAAAACAAATTATAGCATAACTAACTTAATTGCCAAAACAAACTGTACTTTCGGGATACTGGGTCTGGTTATTTGCATAAAGTGCAGCAACAATAATTATTAGCCATCTAGGCTTTTCTTCCTTTTAAAATTGGTTTTGCTGGAACATTTTATAAGGAATCTTGGGTTAGACTTGAAAGCCTTCCATGAGTCCAGGTTTCATCTGTGTCACTAGATACCTGTATGATTGAGTAAATTCCTCTTCTCTTGAGGTTCCAAAGCAAACTATGATTCCTGGACCTGTCCAAAAGTGGCATTCTTTACTCACTGCAAATCAGGAAATGTTATTGATGAGGTATCTGGCCAGTCTTTCCAATAGGCTTTTTTATTGGCCTTATAAAGTCAACCTTAATTCCTTAATGCAGTCTGGACACCTCTGAAAATGCTACTCCAGTCAAAGCCTTGGTAAAATAACCAGTGCCTTTCATCATGTCCTATAGAACAAAACAGATTCTTATTGAATGTATGCAAATAATTATATTGTCAGAAATAAAGAATACTTACAAATGTTTTTCAAATTCTGAAGAAATCAAGGAGAGAGAAAAAAATAAATGTTTCAAATTTTGCTCATAAGTACATACATTGTTGAAAGCTGCAAATAGCTTAAAAGATAGAAAATGGTTTTCTGGATTTTTGGAAAACAGAATACAGAAAGAATGAATAATGTTTCAAATAAAAAGTCATAACAAATCAGCTTGATTCAGTGTAACTGATTTCCGTTCTCTTTGAAATTAGGTTAGCAATACTTATGGACATTTTAGCTTTCTAATTAAAGTCCTGGAAGTTTGCTTCTAGTCTGATGGTATTTAATCTTCAAAGTCATTGGAAATTTGAATTTGAGAGAACTTGCCAGCCTTTTCTACTACTTTCTTTGAAGCACAAACTTTGGACTTAGCCAGTTACAAAAACACTTTCTGAGATGAATTAAAAGTATTACAACATACACTAAGACAGACTAATATTTTATAATATTAGAACATATATGTAAACATAATCCACAGAAAATTAACCACCATTTCATATTTGACAATATTTCCTATACAGTTTTAACATACCAAATAAACTTAATATGTCTTTCTCAGACTTTCAGTGGTCTTTATATTTCAAAAAGATCAAATTTAGTGTTTTGATTTAGAAGGTTTGTCAAATATCAAAACTTAAAAAACATTTGTTCAAACAAGA